TATAATACTTTCTCACCACTCTTGAATATTAACAGCCTATCTTTTCATTTATTTTTGGCTCCAAGTTATGCATTAATTAACATTTTACAGTTTTCTCTTTACTAACTATGAGAAACATACTTTTCTCTAAATGTTACTCCTCAATAGGTGGAGTAACATTTATGAAAACTATGTTAAATCACACCAACATATGTTAAATCTCTCCAACGCTTCTTCAATAAATGTGTATAATAAATTTATAAATAATTTTGTAAAAATTAAAACACATTTAAATAATCTCTAGAAGAAAAATGCAACTTGGTGTGACTCTCCCAAATATCAAGAACCATTCGAAATTTTGAAAGATGCTTTAATTTCTAAACTCGTTTTTAAAATATTTAATCCTAAATTACAATGTCATATTTTTGTTGAAGCAAGTGCAAGTGGTGTCGGAGCAATTTTGAAACAACCAGATGTTTCAGGTGTTTTACATCCAATAGCATTCCATTCTCGTTCTTTAAGAGACTATGAAAAAATTACACTATCACCTAATTTGAATGTCTTGCTATTGTTGATGCAATAAACAAATTCCACCATTATTTATTTGGCAATAGATTCTCCATACATACCATGTAGCATTAGTTTGGCTGATAAATGTAAAAAATTTAAAAAGAAAACTGTCCCGCTGGTCTTCACAATTAAGTATATATGATTATGATATAAAATACCCAAAAGGCTCATTAAACTTTAAAGCTGTCATTTTGGCTGTAGATATTTTTTATTAATTATTTTAGCAGACACACGCATACATATGTATGTATAATTTAGAGGCTTGTTGATTTTTCTCAAGAAGTACACATGGAAGGCAAGTTTGTTTTGTTCTCAAATATTATCTTCTAAATTGAATTAAAAATAATTAGGAAGTGGGCTTTAATGCATCATATACACTCATGTCCATAAATTGAGGATAATGAAGTTCAGGCACAGAAAGAGACAGAAGCCAAACAAATTTGACTTATTTGTAAAGTCTATGTATTAAACAAAAGGTAAAGAGCAGAAAAGATGCTATATGTTTGACATAATTAATAAAAATTGCGATTTTTACTCCCTGGAGCAAATTTCAAAAAAGAACCTTTTTACAAAAAGCAGTATAACATGGTTAGTATGACGGTTAATATGGAGTATGTCTCCCGGACGATGCAATACAGGCCGTACAACGCCTAGGCATGCTGAGTATCAAATTATCAATCTGATCTTGGCAAATATTACACCACTCATCAAGCAATGCCCTCCGAAAGTCCGGTAGACAAGTGGGAGGGGGTTGACGGGCTGAAATTCGTCGGCCAAGCATATCCCACACATGCTCTATTGGATTGATGCCGGTGAGTATGCTGGCCAATCCATACGGGTGATATCCTCCGATTGAAGGCATTTGTCTACAATGTTTTCACGGTGAGGACGGGCGTTGTTGTCCATAAACGGAAATGCAGCACCCATGGCGCCCCGAAACAAACGTACATGTTGTTCCAGAATGACATCCCTACAGATGTGGCCCGTCATCGTTACACTCTGAACCTGCAGGTCAGTTCTGGAACCAAGAATAATTCCTCCCCAAATGAGCCATCCTGCACCACCATAACGATGTCGTTCAATGTTGTTGTCTTGGTGGTAACGGGTACCTGGCGCTCTCCGTATGAAAGTCCAGCGAGAATCAGACTGCAAACTAAACCTGGACTCGTCGGAAAACATCACACAAGACCACTGTTGCGGTGTCCACAATGCATGCTCTCTACTCCAGGCTAATCGCAGGCGACAGTGAGTTGCGGTAAGTAGAACACATCTGACAGGCCTACGAGCATATAGACCAATGTGCCCTAAGCGTCTGTACACGGTCTGCCCTGAAACTGTCGTACTGGTAGCTGAAGAGAGCTGACGAGACAGGTCTGATGCTGTGCTCCGTCTGTTTCTTTTGGCAGTAACTGCCAAATACCGGTCTTCATTTGGCGTTTTAACTCGGGGGCGACCTGTGCTGTAACGTCTACTCACATTACCATCATCTTGGAATCGTTGCCAAAGCCTGGAGATGACACTCTGGGTGATTCCAAGTTCCTCGGATACTTCCAGCTGGGTACGTCCACATTCCAGTCGTCCGATGATTCTGCCACGTAAAAAATCATCCTAATGCTTCCTTGGTGCCATAACTATGCGGTTATTGCACTAAAAGGCTTTTAAAGAACTTGTGAACAATTTTACTTCTATGCCACCATTCCTTATGTACCCCTCTCTTACACTCTCGTCATTGTGACGTACTACCAGCGTCATTTAGTGGTTTCCTGTAATTTGCATATTCTTCTTCAGGATGTGTGTGATAATTCTACAGGTGAAATTTTAATTTTAGAGTTTGATTTCCGTGTGATTCTGAATTATCCTTAATTTATGGACATGAGTGTATTTCTATTGAAAGAAGAACTTAAAATCTGCCCGACAGCCATTAAATCACACAAATCACCATAAGTATGAGTTCGGGGCATCAGAATTGTTGAACTTATTTCCACTTTTGTCTTGATATGAGATAGAAAACTCTTCCCAATACTCCATTACTTGCTATACTACTTCCTTACGCACCTCTCGAATTATGACTTGAGTATATCTTAATATATAGTATATGGTATCGTTCGGAAAAGACAAGCTCCGTCACTAATAATTGGTATGACCGTCGACATGTTTCAAGCACTTTTAAAATATGTGCCTATTTTCAATATTTACCAGACCTGATTGAGAAGAAACACGTCCAGCAAGTCTTGAAAATGGTTACCTATTTTAGAAACGCTTAAAACAGTTTTTTCCCCCTTTTTGTGTATCTTTAAATACATGATGTTTTTAATCAAGTAATATTTTACCGTTTCAGATACTTGGGATTATTTATTTAAAATGAATAATAACTATAGTGTTACCAATAGATAAAAAAGTATTCGAGTTTATGGAGCCACATACACTTATAGATTAGCATTCTATTATAATAAAATGTATGTTTTGTGAAACTTGTTTAAAAATAAATTATTCTTTTGACGTTATTTTGTTTCTAAGCTGTTTCGAAAAACAAAATTTCTATTTATTAGACATTAAGGAAAATAAATGTTGTGTTTAAACATGTTTGAAATATGTTATAAATTTTTTTAAATAAATATTCTAACATAAACGACCCATATTTATTATAGAAAAGTAATCCAGGTAAATACAATAATGTGAAATTGTATTTCAATAGTTTTAATATTATATTAGCTTTCTAAAATGTTACAATGAATAGAGAATATATTGGTTAAATTGCCAAGCTGCTTATGACGTCATAAAACGGGGTTAAGGAAATTACGAATAAAAACTCACGAGACTGTCTACTAACCTTGGTTTAAATCATATCCTATTTAACAAATAATTAAATTAAATCAGTTTAGTATTTTTTTTCTCTTTTACCTTCGCATCAATTTAAGTGTCAGTTCGTATCTTTTAGTCGCATGACTTATTTGTTTTCATTTACAAGTTTTATTGAAAAAGTGATATCGATTTATAATATAAAATCAAATACTTTAGACCATTTGAACTCTTGTTTTGATAAAATATACTTTATCTTTTATCTTATTTCAAGGTTCTTGTTATCATTTTAAAATCACAATTTTTCTTACTTTGTATTGCATTTCCATCATACATATCTAATCAAATTTCTCTGGTTATGGAAATACTGTTTGATTAAGAATTCATTATATATACTAAATGAACAAGGACTACATGATTATGTAACGACGAGTTAGTCTCTTGTTTTTGTTTAATCATGGAATTATTGGAAAGTTTGCTGAATGCTTATGTTTCAAGTGCAGTGCTTGGAGTCATATTACTTTATATCCTTTATCGGTAAGATATATTTTTTACTCTTACATTAATCCTTTATAGAGTCATTTTTTCTAGTACTGTTCTGTTAAAATATTTTTGGGATTAAGATTGATATACGAAATGAAATGTTAATTCTGTTTATTACCAACAATCACTTGTTTTAAGAACACTTATTTTTTTGGTTGGAAGATGCGTGGAATTTTCGAAGTTATACCTATTGTGAAAAATTAATCCTTAATTTGAACTATTACACTTTTAAATAACCGAACTTATTTACTTATAAATAACCTAGTTTATGAATTCTATGTTTACAAACATGACTAGATGAAAAATAATAAAAAGAACGAAAGCACAGAGAAGGAGCGAATCAGGAATCAGCATATGAGGAAATCGATGAAAGGGTGAATCAGTATGGTATTTCTGTGACTCAAAAATCGGTATTAAAGGAAATCCGTGAAGGTTGGAATTAAAAATCAAACTGGAAATGAATCCGTTCAAGTGCGAATGAATGATCCGTCATGGGAAGTATCAATAAATGGGAGAACGAATAGTCCTGTAAGGAAATCAGTGAATCGGTGAATCAGAAACCAGAATAGGAGAGCCGCGATGGATCAGGGGATATAGCGTTCACCTTTCAATGAGGTGAACTGGGTTCGATCCTAGCGATGGCTGGTCGATGCGAATTCCGCATCTGGCTTGCACCGACCACAGTGCTGACGTGAAATATCCTCAGTGGTAGACGGATCATGGGTTGGAGTCCCCTTGCAGTCAGGCTAACCGTGGGAAGTTTTCGTGATCTTCCTCTCCATGTAACGCAAATGTGGGTGGCTTCCATCAGAAAGTTCTCCACGAAGGCAAATTTTGCCCAATACTTGATACACGAGTTTCCTTGTCTTCTGGATTGGGTTCAAAATTACAAGGCTACGGAGTTGAACATTGGTAGTCGTAAACCCAAAAAATTGAGTCTGCTGTTCAACGACGTAACAGTCGTTGAAATAAAAATAAAACACAGAATAGGAAGAAAACAGTATATAGGTATGTGTATAGAAAGAAGTATTTAAAAAAAATTTAAAAATCTTAATAATTATTCTAATTAATTTATCTAATAATTGTGTTCCAGAGAAAATGATAATACAAAATAATTTTTAAAAAATATTTTTTAGATTCTCTGTAAGGAATCATAATGTGTGGAAAGAGAAAAATGTACCATTCGTTAAACCCTATCCGTTTGTTGGATCTCTGTTGCCCACTTTGCGATACGTAAGTACGACAGTTAAACACTTAACTGTTATCATTTTGGTGAATTTATGTGCAATGCGCAAAATACAAAATGGAATAACTTTTGATCTAATGAGCGGATCTTCACGCTAGAGAGGACTCATTCTTAATTGTTCAAAGGGGTTAATCTTAAATATGCTAAGTAATTAGTGCAGACGATAGTTACGAAATCGGACACAAAAACGTAATTTCTCTGATACTATTCTTACAACGGTTATAGATTTCTGTCCTCAAATTGTAAGGGGTAGCCACAATCTGGGACATATGGTCCCCGTTTTCGGTCAGGAGAGGGGGACCAAAGTTTGGACTCTTTCATATTAATTTTATTTTTCGCGTATTGCGCCATATTTCGAGAACTCTTAAGCGAATTGAAAAGTTTTTACACATAACTATGAAATTCGTTTATCCGAAGACAATTCCATGAAAAATATAATTTTTAGTAAATATTTATTATTTTTTAATATTTTATTTAATAATAGTCAAAAAAATTTGAATTATAATATTGAATAATTAATTTATATAATTAATTTGAATGATTTTTTTATCTCAATTTGAAAAATGTAATTCTACATGACAAAATACAATATTTGAATAAAATCGGTCTAATAATTCCTGAGAAATCGAATTTTAAAGAGACCCTATTTTATCCGGATTGCGGCCACCCCGTATATTTTAGGAAGTCAGAAATCCAAATCCGTCAATAAAATTATATGTTTATTGAGAGAAAATTCGTTTTGTTGTCTGATTTCGTAATTTAAAATATTGTCTGCACTAATTAATTAGCATATTTGAAATCATCGTCTCAAACCTTTAAGAGTGAGTAATAAAACTTGAAAATCCGATCATTAGATCAAAAGTTAATCTGGATAGTCCGTTTTCTATTTTGCGCACTGTGCAACTAATCTTTTTTACTCTCTCAATATATATGCTCTTGTTTGAATTTATTGTATCTTATTGATATTGTTTGCATCTTATTGTATCTTAAGGCCTGTTTAGACGATCTAATTTCTTGGACAGAGATTGATTGATTTTGATGGAAACTTGTTTTGCTTTGAGCTTGGATCGTGTAAACAAACATCCAAGAACTTGGTCCAACTTCTTGGACGATAGTAGAGCATGTTCTACTTTCCATCCAAGTTTTTTCTCCCTTAACCAATCAGCGTCTTAGGTTTTGTGACGTCAACAAGCTGGCAGCAAATTATGTCATTTTGTTGTGGGTTTTCATATATTTTAGTCCAAATAAATTGATCTGTTGAGGTTTATTTGTGTTATTATGATTTTATTTGAATTTATTTAGTAATTTTAAACTTATGTAAGTATTAT